TCTCCTCTTTATTTCACTCAAGCTTGTGGAAACTAGGAATGCCACAAAGATTATGTGTTTGGCTCCTGGCTGTGCAAGACTGACAGGACCTCATTACCAAGGTTCCCAGATGAGTGCTGGCAAAGGTGTTTTTCACACATTCCCTTTCAGCCAGGAGGAAGTAGAATCTTGCTTTTAACGGCTTTCAGGAAGAAAGTCGAGAAGGCCATGCAAAGAGAGAGGAGTGTAAATCTGGGGAAATGTGACTTATCAACAGACTTAAATTTCCACTTTTTCTCTACCTCCCACTGGGTCCAGGGCAGAAGATCCTGTCTATCCTGCTGATGGATATGTCTGGAATGACACATTAGGCTCAAGTGGGTTGGGAGGGTTTGACTTTGTGAGCCAAGTTCATTTCTTCTACCAGGTGTGCCATTGCTCAGTGGCCCTATGTCAAGCATGTTTCCTTCAGTGCTGAGACTCAAATGTGAGGAATTGTTTTGCTTTGAGCATAGGCCTGCTTTGTGATGCACAGCCCTGGAACAGGAAGCAGTGCCTGTTCATGTGATAAATCCAAAGTAAGGCTGCGGTCCTAAACACATACTTAGGAAGAGTGTGCTTTGAGTCTTTTGTGTTCTGTCCAAACAAAACTCAGGTGCCATGAGCTCTGGGAGGTCTTAAACAGCATAGACAACTCTTTCATGGTGCCTGTTTTTCACGGTAAGAGTCTCAAATGTGGGCCTTTTTGTTCTCCCTGCTAAAATATATATCTCTTCTCACAAATGTGCTCTAGCTTAACTCCAGTTTTGCACTGGAGAACAATTTTGAACTGGAGATCCAGCTCCGAGGGCCGCCTGGCGGTTCCCTCGCTGAGAGAAGTGAGGTTACAGGGAACCAGGCAGAACGCCCTCCCATCAGATGTCAAGGAAATAAACAACTGTCTGACTTTTGGAAGACATCTGAAGGCAGCCCTATATAGGGAAACTTTTAATGTTTGATGTCGTATTTTGTTTTAATCTGTTGGAAGCCATCCATAGTAGCTGGGGTAACCCGGTCAGTTGGACAGCCAATCAATCAATTAATCAATCAATCAATCAATCAATCAATCAGATGGTGCTCCTTGTGTAGAGTGTGGGCTCCTTGTGTAGAGTGAGGATGGATTTGGGAATACAAATCAGTGTGCAATATCGATAACTCATATAACTCTTTCAAAGCTTTTTTTTGTTTTGTTTTTCATTGATACATGAGGTTGAACTGTGGCCAAACGTTGGTGCCTGGAATTAACCTGGAGAGCTCATTGGAAATCATTTGGTTAGCTACCTAGGCATTGCAGGGAGCAGCAGTCGATGTAAGGGATAAATGTTCCCATTCAGTTTTAATGGAGAGATTGATTGATCTTTATTACGGCCATTGGCCCGTCACACGACAGTTTCCCATACCAACATAATGTACATGAACCTCCAAATTTAAAACCGTCAAAACTTACAAAAAACAGACAAGAACCAAAGCAGAACAAAAACAAAAGACCAACATCATATATTGCAATAAATTTGTAACATAACCATCACCATCTGCTCACAGATCAATAAAAGACATCAATGGTGATTCACCTAGTTACATCCTAAAACATAGATCATGGTTTAAAGGGATTTTCCGAGCCACACAGGAGTCCGTTTCTCTTCTTTAGGGATAGGACACTGATCAAGAATCTGGCAACCGTGAGTGATCTTAGGGGGTCATCATCATTTAATAGATATCTCAGTTTGGCTTCATTCAGTATCATCGGCAATTCCCTTTAGATATTGGGCAAGAAACTTGCTCCTGGCCGATGAGTGAAAAGCACAGTCAAAAATTATGTGATGCAACGATTCCGGTGCCCCACAATTACAATCACATAAGAGCGATATCTGTCCATTGGAGAATCTATTTCTCAGCATGTTCGATGGGAAGGTGTTGAATCTTGCCTTTACAAAGGCATATCTATGAGCCGAAGAAGTTAAGGAATTCAAATAGTTTGGGAGCCTTAAGAGGGGTGATAAACCAAGGTTTAGAGGTGAGCAGGTACCATTGCCCAAGACCATTTTCTGCTGCAAGTCCATCTCCTCTAGTTTACAGGTTACTGTTCTTTTAGCTGGAACTATGTCCTGCTCTAGTAATTTGGATGGGGAGATTCCCATTGTCATTATTTTCAGCTGTAAATTTTTTACCCATGGGCTCTGGAAATCATCTCTCCACATACATTGTATCAAGTACAAGTTTGGGAGATTGTGCCATAGAGATAACCAGTGACAAAGTATGTGCTTCCACAGAGCGTTTTCCAGGGATACAGTATTAAGTTCCATGCGTAACGCTGTATTACTTACACAGTTGGGCAGTTTCAATATCCCTCTTAAAAACTGATTTTGAATAACCTCTAGGTGAGATAGATTGACAAAAGTCCCCCAAATTGAGATGGCATAGGCAATTGTCGGGATCACCTTGGCCTTGAAGACTTTCAACGCCGATGGGATATGAAGAGCCCCATCGGTGAAGAAGAATCGCAAGATCGCCAAGGAGATAGCTTTGGCTCTATTTGTAACATAGGCTACATGGGCCTTCCATCTAAGGTTATGTTGTAACCAAACTCCCAAGTATTGGAATCTATAGACTTGTTCGATGACTCTCCCATCAATTCTCCAATTATGGAGTTTCCGGCTCTTTGAGAAAATTAGAATCTTAGATTTTCCATAATTAATTGTAAGGGAATTTGCGTTACAGTACGATCCAAAATTTTTAAGGCCCTCCTGAGACCTACTCTAGAAAAGGAAAGGATGACTGCGTCATCCGCATACAGTAACAAAGGGCAGCGATAAAGTGCTAGGCGGGGTGCATGAATCCTTTCTTGAGCCTCTATTAGGGAGTCCTCATATCGCTTATGAATAAGTTGAACAGGAATGGAGCCAATATACAACCCTGTCGGACACCTCTGTTAATGGGAATTGGATTGGTGAGATCACCCTCCGGGGTGAGTCTCACTCTAGCCGCTGAGTTCTCATGGAGTTTGATTATTAGCCAGAGAAGCCTTCTATCGATGCCCCAGCGGGAGAGTTTTCCCAGAGGATGTTCCTGGGGATACTATCGAATGCTGCCTTTAGGTCAATGAATGCCACACAGAGTTGGCCACCCTTTGGGGTGGAATATTTCCAGGCAAGATGCTGTAAAATTAGAATATGATTAATTGTTGACTGTTTTGGGCGGAATCCAGCTTGTTCGGGCCCAATTAATTTTTCTCTTCGGCACATTGGTTAAGTCTGTTCAGCAAGAAGCGGGCATACAGTTTCCCCACTATTGAGAGTAGACTGATATTTCTGTAATTCCCCGGGTCATCTGGTGAGCCCTTTTTGTGGATTGGAACGATAACAGCGTCCTTCCATACTTCCGGGATCTTTCCAGAGTTGTTAACGGCATCGAAGATGGTCGCCAGAACTTTAGCCCACCAGTCCGCGTGGTATTTTATAGCTTCTGCCGGGATCAGGTCTGGCCCAGGCGCTTTCCCTGTTTTGAGTTTAACGATCAAGTCATGGATGTCTTCCGGGTCGGTGGGGGCCAGAGGGAAGCTGATCTTGAAAATCATCTCTTGTGTTAGCAATACAGTCAGTTGTGGCAAAGTAGTTTTTAAGTAGGATTCCCAAACCGGGGCAGGAATAATAGTCAAAGGGTATCTTTTAGTTCTTTTATTTACCAGGAGCCAAAATTGTCTGGAGTTCCGTGATGATGAGGCTTCTATGATTGTTCGCCATTGATTCACTTGCCATTCCTGTCTGGCTCCCTTTTGAATTTGCTTGTAGGCTGATTTTGCTTGGAAGTATTCTTTTGGCAAGACCGTTGCCCCGGAGGCTTTATACTCTTTGTAGATGTTACCAAGAAGTTGTCTAGCCTGTTTACAAGCACTATTGAACCACAAGGCACCTATCTTCCTTTGTGTTCTATTTATTTTATGCGTCGGGACAGAGAAAAAAGACGTTAGATCTTCTGACAGATTCGAGAATAATCTTAGAGTTTGGTCATAATCATAATAATTCTCGATTAAGCCTGAATATGCTTGTTTTAGCCCTTGTTGGAAATATGCTGAGTATTTTTGGGCCTGTAGTTCGGACCATTTTACACTTTTGATTTGCAATGCTGAGTTCGTAGTCAGATGTGTTGGGTGCTTGTCTCCATCTGGGGTCCAGTCTATAGTCATTGTGGCGACCAACGGTAAGTGGTCGCTCAGTTGAAAGTTTTCGACTTTAAAATGGGAAAATTTGGGGAATATGTCATGAGATACTAACATATAATCCAGGACACTGTTTGCAGAGGAGCTTATGTGTGTAAACTCACCCGGTACGTCTGGCGGGCAGTTCCCGTTTAGAATCACTAAGTTTAGACGTAGTACCAATTGGTAAAGAAGGGTTCCTGCTTCATTTACCCTTTTGTCTTTAGAAAGTCTTTGATTATGGAGGGAGAGGTCATTAATGAATTCTGGGGTTATCCACCATTTGGCTTTGATTAAAGACTCCCAGTTTGTTGCAATGCGAGCATTGAAGTCCCCTGCTATAACATTGGGTATATTGGGGTATTTGGAGTGACAATGAGTGAGATGTTCCTCCAAGATTCCCCATTTATTGTGTAAGTCTGCAATATTGCCTCCAGGAGGAAGATAAACATTTGTTATAACAAGTTCAAAGTTTTCCCCGTAATCAGGGCTGTAATTGCAAAGATGGAAGCATTTACAAGCGTGAGCTTTGCCTGTATTTTCAAGGAAATTGCTATAACTAATCCTCCACTGGGCCGGCCTCCTTTAATAGACGGGCATGCCGGTAATGATGTAACATCAAAACCATTAATATCTACTCTCCCCTCTTCCCATGTTTCCTGCAAGAGAATTACTTGGTGTGAGTTTATTAGTTTTACAAAGTCCGGGTCAGATTTTTTCCCCTTCCAACCTGCTATGTTCCAGCTTAAAAGGGAGAACGGGGAGGATTTGACTGAGGTTTGGGTAGTCACAATGGGGAAGGGGGGAACGCTGATCTTGGTGGGTTGTCAAATTTAAAGAAGTCAGTAATTTTCCTTTGACTAATAGTAGATGACTTCTCTCCTTTTGGCACAGATGTACCTCTTGAGCTATTTGTAATTCTGCTTTGCTCACCCGATCCTATAGGGGTAGTGTCCTGGTTTGATCTGGTCTCCTCTCTGAAATCCCTTGTTTTATCCGAGAGCTTATCACCTAGGGGGGCAGAGATTAAGTCGGTACAAGTTTTAACTATTATTAGATTTCCCTTCCGTGGGTGTATCATCTTATTTATATGGCCCAAGGGGTCTTCTGTCCAGTCCATATCGATAGCGGTTTGAGCTTCTAAATCAACAGCTTGAGATTCTCCGTCCGATAATGATGACTCCAGGTCAGGCATTGAGGAATGTGTCGAAATTTTGTTTACATTTTGCTGTTCTTTAGTAGGTGTAACCATTCCGGCTGATGCAGGAAGGGCTGGTTCCAGATTAACTAATAGGGGTGGCGAGACAATTGTCTGTATCGTTGCCTTGGATTTTATGGACCTATTTTGAGGCTGTGGGCTAAATTTGAGAAGGTCCACTGAGCCTCCAATGGCCCTGTTGGTTTGAATTTCTTTGTTTCCTATTTTGCTTTTGGCCTGAGACATCTTCTCTCTTAGTTTATCTAATTTATTTATTATTTTTTCTTTTTCTTGTGACTGTAATTCATCAAATGAATTCATAAGGGCGCTTTCATCATTAGATATTCTGGAGCCACCCAAGTCCGTTCCTGGTTGTGGACTGCAGGCCATCTCCTCCGTTCTCTGTGGGGAAGGCAACATCTCTTTGTCTGGCGATTTTGTAGAGCTTGTTCCTGAATCTAATATCTCTTTCTCTTTTCCACAAGTAGTGGTTTTACTATGCTGTCCGCAAAACCCTTGTAGGTATGATTTTTGTTTTTATAAATTTCCATTTTTGTCTTATTATTAATAAGGGTAGTCTCAGCGAACGGAAGGCTAAAATAACTTTGTAAGGGCCATTTGATTGAGTTAGCGGAAGTAAAGCATGAAGATCAATATGAACTATGCTTATTCTCAGGATTTTACTTAGGGCAGTTTTAGCTCCTTCCAAGCTTGACCAGTCCCATATCTCAGACCTTATCGTTAGGCACACCTTCTTAGGTTGCAATGTTAGATTTTGCTTACACATGAGATCGTTTAGTTTATATTTTCTCATCCCCTTTGCCCCAGAGTTTGGTGGGGCTATTACTGGAGGTCCCCTCTGGTAGTTATTATTGAGGGCAATTTTGGCGTCCATATCCATCACTTTTCCGTTAGCTTGGAAATTGAGCACGTCAGAAAGTCTATCTTTTTAAATATGCAGTCCAGTGTCCTAATGACTAGTTGTAAATGGGAGGACTCATTTCCCAGCTGGTTTTCTTTATCCCGGATCTTTTCCCATCCACATTGGGCCCACCCTTGACGGGAGTGCTCGTTAGATTACAATTGTGTATGGTGGTATTTTGGGACTTGGGAATGTTATTAGCTACATCCAAGTCACTTAGTGGAAGAAATCTATTGTATGTGGTAACTGCTGCTTGAGAATTTGACTGGTCTCTTCTTTCTTTAGCTTGTAGCTTGGGGCTAGGGAGGAGCAGTAATTCCTCTGCTTCTCTGAGGCGTTTCCTCTTGCCCATAGCCACAGTAGATATGAGCTAAATAATGTAGATAATACAGGAGAGAAGAAGGGGACTTCCTACCACAGTCAATAATTTGGCTATACAGCTGAGTATTTAACTCCAGGGATTTCTCCGCAGTTCATACAAGAGCTATAATAAGAGTCAAATTCGGATAAAGATTTACCCCTGGTGAGGGCTCAAGTAGATCATCTCAGCTCAGCCCTCTTCACGATAGATTGTTCAAGGGAAGGGCTCTCAATTTAAATCTTGGTCCAGTCCCCCATCCCTCCCCTATTCGGTCTCCAGGAAAAGTGCAAGCAGGCTTAACTTGGAACAGAAGGTCTCACCGCTTAGTGAACTTCCAGGCTTTTGTTTTGTTTAATTTAAACTCCCGTCTCCTCTCTCTTCACCCCTCTCTGCTGAGAACTTCTTCTTCACCTTTCAGAGTGTAGTTTCAGCAACCCGAAGCCTAGCAGCCTCGCAGCTTTCCACTCTCGCTGATTGGGATGACGAAGTGCAGCTGGAGAAGACTGCTCGAGAGGGAGGCTGGGTCCTCAAGCCCGTCGGGTTCAGCTGCCCGTTCAGGCACCTGAGGACTTCTATGATCTCCTCTGGTCCTCAGGTCCTCCCCTGGCCTGGCTTCAAAACTTCGGCTTGGCTCTTTCCCTTCCCCAAGTATTAAGACTCCGCTCAGGCCCGTTTAATGGAGAGAAATATGGCCCAATACAGTAATGGCTGGGTTTTGCTTTAACCTGATGATAGAGAGCCCGCCCTTCCCTTCCCAGCTCTAGGGTAGAATATTATCTGTTTTATTTAATCGTTTCCTGCATTTCCACCACATTGAAACTGTTTAATCCATCAAGAGTGAAAAAGTGCTGCTTTTTGCATGGCAAGCACCTCTGCTGAAAAAAATTTAATATGGAACCCGATAGCCTCCAAGTTATTAACATTAACAATATAACTCTTTCCAATTCCTTTTTTTTTTTTTAGCCTGTTGCTTTGCTTATAAATGCATTTTTTGTTACAACACAATAGTGCATTCATGTTCAAACTTGTATACAGGTAGAGTTCACTTTTTGCAAGAAACACAAACAAAAAAAACCATATGTTTCAAATATTTCTCCAAATATCTTTTCCATTTATGTGCACGTGTTGCTGTGCTCCCAAAGCTTACCATTATCCTCTTGTGTTTTATAACAGAGTTTCCTGTATTCCTTCTTTGTATGTTTATAAATACATTTTGCAGTTTGAACTACTTTCTCTCTCTCTCTTGGCCAGCACTAACTTCTCAATCATTTTTCATCACTTTCACAGGATGTTGAACATTTCTAGATTTTCAAAGGACTGTTGTGATTTGTTTGAGTACCAGAGTGGCAGAACCATGAAGCCACAGAGAGTTAATCTACACAAACAGCAGGTTGCATTCGAAAGTCTGGACTGTACCACTTCAGACTGCAGATGGAGTAGCACATTGCACTCCCATATAAACTCCCTACACAGAGAAAACCAGATGTCAAGAAGATGTGTTTCAGTCCCATCTTTTTCCTAACAGCCTGTTGGGTTGTTGTTGTTGTTTTATTATTTTGCTAAGGTTTTGTTTTTCAGCTTGGGAAAGCTTTCAGACGTGTGGCTCTACATCTGCAGTCCTAAGTGGTACAGTTCAAGAACAGTTTTCCTTTCTCCCATGTGTGATTTCTTTGTTTGTGAGCCTGAACTTTATTTACATAGCAGTTGAACAGAACATCTGAAAACTTGAGGCCTGATGCAGGGCATTCTATAGGCAAGATTTCTAGGATTCACTATCTCTGCTGCTAAACAGGTCTTTTTTTCAGCTGGAACTCAGTTCTGGCACCTCTCAGGTGGGTGCCATTGCCATTATAGGAGAACAAGGGAGGTGTTCATGGTGAGTTCCATCACCTCTTTTTTCTAGAAAAATAGCGCTGCTGCTAAATAACACCAGAAACAAATGTATGGCAATGGTTCTTCTTGTTGGGCAAGATGGCCATAGGTCTTACTTAACAGAGGACAGTCCTCTATTTGAAGGGCTGTCAGAGGAAGTGCCTATATCAGAAGATGACCTCTCCTATTTGGTGAGCTGTCTCGTCCAAGTCTGTTTGTTGATAGCAGACAGACTGTGGTCTATCATGGTGTGTGACTGGACCTCCTATCCCTATGAGCTGTACAACTGGGCAGAAAGGGTCGATACAGGTCCAGTCTGCCTGATACTTCCCAGCTCTTGAACCTCTTGGAGAGCTAGGATCTGGTATTTTCCCACAATGGGCGTCCTTCAGCCTTGGTGGGCACACATTGGCATAATTACCTGTCTTCCCACAATACATGCATGGTCCCTCTTTGTGGCGCCTCTCTTCTTCCTCCTCTGCTGACAGATGAGGTTGAGCGTTTCCCAGGGGTGCTGTCATGAGTGAGCCAATTCCCAGTGACGGGTTGCAGCCAGCTCCCAGTGAAGGTTTGCAACCAGCTGAAGAAAGCAGGCAGGAACAGAGAGGGTTAACTGCCAGGCAGGATGAGCATCGGCTCATTCCACTTAGAATGCTGGTTGATAAGGGAATGTCTGAGAGCGGGCTGGAACCCAGCCAACGCTCTGAGAAGTGCAAACTTTGTCAGAACGTTTGTCAGAACGGGAAGAGATTGGAGCTGAGCCAGTCCCTCCTAAGAGTAGGTTAGGGGGAGGGATGTTAGACCGGAAGCAAAACAAGAGGCGTAAGACACGAAAGTTCTCTGTCTTCTGTAGAAACTGGAAGGAGTCTTCAGAAGGGTCATCATGATTGATGACACTGGGAGGCTGTGTTAGAGCTGTCCGGAGCTATCTATTGTTTTGACAATAAATCCTTTTTAATTAACTACACTTACTGTGTGATCAAGCCGGGGACTGGACTCCTGACAGGTGCCAACTTGAATAAAACACGGGGGGTGGGGGTGGGGAAGCAATCTACCAATTTCGACATTCCTATAAAATGAGAGAATCTTGAGAGTGAACACACCTTGCTTCACCTTTAAAAGCTGGCCGGAGTTGTGCGGATACTTTTTGGGGCATCTTTGTAGCTTCTGCCCAGTTCTGAACTTCTTGCCCTGCTGCTGAACTCCTGAATTGTGTCTCCTGAGCACCATTGCTGCTGAGTCTGCACCATTACAAGCAAGAGCATCTATCTGTGTGTTCTGGGTGGGAGCCTGGACACATAACAGCAAGATGAGGAAATTTTAAAAACAACAACCAACAACCCTGGAATTTGGACAAAGATGATAATGTGGAATTACTGAATACCAAACAGATGAAACTGGACCAATATTTTTATAGCTTCTAAAGATAAGTTAGGTCTGCAGAGTTCACAATCCCAGTGGCAAATCGCTTTGACCCACTATATCTGGAAATGGGTCGGCGGATACCTTGTGGGTCTTAGAAAGTCGTGGTGGGGATGACAGTAGAAGCTCTCCAGATTGAAAAAGCCCCCAAAGAAAAAGTGGAACTGCTTGAGAAACAGTGTCTAGCCAGGCAGTTTTAATGCAACTATTTTTATGCAACTAGAGCATACTGTTAAGAAGTTGGGGTGTCTGGCTGCTGAGCAGAGTTTTAGAAATGCGTCTACCATTACTGAGCTGTGTCATCCTCCTTAAGGAGTAATCAAGTACCTAAGAATCAAACAAGCAGGGATTTCCACTCAATGTAATATTGTATAATGTAATATTAAAACTATTAGTCAGCACCGTATTTTTCGCTCTATAAGACGCACCAGACCACAAGACACACCTTGTTTTTGGAGGAGGAAAACAAGAAAAAAAATATTCTGAATCTCAGAAGCCAGAACAGCAAGAGGGATCACTGCGCAGTGAAAGCAGCAATCCCTCTTGCTGTTCTGGCTTCTGGGATAGCTGCGCAGCCTGCATTCGCTCCATAAGATGCACACACACTTCCCCTTACTTTTTTAGGAGGGAAAAAGTGAGTTTTATAGAGCAAAAAATACGGTATATATTACGGGGTACCACTTTCACCTGCGCTTCCATGTTATAGACTAAATAGCACCATAAGATTACAGCTGGGCCTGCCATTTATACAATGTAGATCTAAAACTAGGGAAGAGGATCTTGGATAAAAGACAGCCATTGAGAATTCTTCAA